CCATGCTCTTGATCTTAGCTTCATGTTAAATACCCTGCCCTCCTGTATTTTGAGGTTTTAGTCATGTCCTCCCTTTCTCTTCTATCCTAAGTACTCAACATACAGGTGAAACTCGAATAATTAGAATATTGTGCAAAGTTCATTTATTTCATTAATGCAACTTAAAAGGTGAAACTAATATATGAGATAGACTCATTACATGTTCAACCTGTGATTTGTCATAATTGTGCTGATTATGGCTTACAGCTCATGAAAACCCCAAGAACCCCAAATCCACAACCTCAAAAAAGTAGATTATTACATGCAATCAATAAAACAAGGATTGTACATAGAACAATATCGGAGCTCTGAAAAGTACAAGCATGCATATGTACTCAGTACTTGGTTTGGGCCCCTTTTGCAGCACTTACTGCAATTACTTTTGCACGACATTCTAATTATTCGAGTTTCACCTGTATACTGTATTATATGTCAGTCTCTCCGATATGTTTTATCCCTCAGACCTTGCACCATTCATGTTGCTTGTCTTTGGGCTCGCTCTAGCTGTTCAATATCTCTTTGTAAGTGAGGCCTCCGAAATGGAGGCGTCTTCTTTAAATGTTGTACGTGAAGTTTACTGCCTGTCATATATGATAGGTTTACTGTCTAAAAGACAGGAGTAGGTATATGAATGAAGACTTCCATGTACCTTCTCCCAGCCATCACCTCTAGGAATGAGCAATGCTGCTGGAAGTACCCTACTTAATGCTGCAGAGGGAAACGTTTGACCATCCATTCCTCCTTCGGCATAATTCCTTCATTTGCTGTCTCACTTGCCAGCCTCTGTTGTTGTTAGGGAATTTTCAGACTACAGAAATAATAATTTGCACAAGCTGCTAAGAATGACTAGGTTGTGATGATGAGATGCGACTGGCCATAGTTTGGGAAACACTGCATTGGAGGAACAAGTGGAAGCGTTGGCCAGTGCAGCCAATCAGATTCCGGCTGGATTGTTTTCAGTGCATTATGAATATCCTGTATATACTTGTCCATTCCTTGGATCTTTACCAAAGCTACAGCCTCCAACAGAATCTTCACACCCAACACTCCCTGATGGTGGATGCCGAGGTCTCGTGCCGCAGACCGCGGTCCCATCGGCATTGGCTATAACCACAACGTGAGGAGACCTGATATCTGACACGTCTGGAAATGTGTCCGCTTTTGCCGGGGGCAGTAGTTTATACCTCTGCATGAAAGCCAAGACCTGAGGAATGATCACCAGGATAGGCAAGTGTAGATGCATATCTCTTGCAGGGTATTTTATTTGCCATTATTTAGGCAGTCCAGCCTGATTGGTTACCATGGTCGGCATCCCTTCTTCTCTTTCCTTCAATTCCTTTATGTGAATTGGACTCATTGTGTTCTCACTGGCCTTTATTTATGTGTGTGTGTAAGGGAAGAAATGTCTGTCTGTGTTGTCCACAGAAACCAATCCCAGCTTCCTTTTCTCTTTCCCGGATCAATGGAGTGATATGAACATTTTTATTACCATGGGTAACAGACTGAAACAATTCTCTCATCTCATACAGTAGTAAATGAGGCCAGCAGTGCTTGATTTTCTTTGATCTTGCTGTTAAAGCATGCTAAGGTTTAACTCCATCTCTGTTTAATCCTTTTTTTTTTTAAATATTTTATTGTTTAGTAATATATTTTTATGTTTTGTTCTATACCGGTATTGTAAACAATACTTGTACAAATGTTACCTAGCAAGTCTACTTTGATGCATATATATATATCATATTTCTAGGTAAGAAGACGACACTAAGGGTTTGATCAGAGTGCAGTGCGGTTACCTTAAAACTGGATTTGTGATCCAGCGACTCTGAACTGTGATGGCTTGATCTCCAAGTAGTTATAGTGGCTGCATTTTCATATGTTTTCCTGTTTAAATGATTAGTTATTGTACACAACGTCCCGTAATAATAGGCGCACCTTTATTTATTTCACAGTGGGACTTGTGCCCTTACTAATTGCCCCCCGTACCTCCTATTCTCCCCACTGCCAATCAGTTTTTGGTTACCTACCCATCTGTCTGCTGCACAGTTCTACTGGTTGCACTCTAGCACACTCCATGTGCTCCAACATCATAGCTTTGTTTAACCAATTGAATTGTGTAGTAAGGGCATTCACTAGACATTAAATAGGAGGAAGGCAGTTCCTTTAGGGGGACGGGTAGTCTCTTTTGCGGATTTGGGGTGGTCAACAGTCCTTTTCCAATGGAGTAAGGGACACTGTAGGGACTACTAACAATATAGGCCTTCCTTGCCTGTTAAATTACTTCTTGCAGAGGAACCTCTGTGATCATCATTCATTCTATCAATACAGTCCGAAGTATAATACCTGCCAATGCAACCTTTTTCTGACCATATACCAGAAAAAACAACAACTGCATAGTTTTTAAGGGGACGGTTCATTAATTTTTAAATAAAGTTTATTATTTTTTTGGGTGGACAGTGATAAGCTGAATTCACATCCCTTGATGGACTTGTGATACCAAATGCATTGAGGGACTCTACTTCTAATTCTTTGTGATGTAAAATAAATGGAGAAATCTAACAGGAGAGAAAGCCTTGCTGTGGCCAAGCCAGTGGGTGGTGCTGGGAACCAGAGCAGGGATTTGGTGAACAAACTCCACCAGTGTTCTGGAAGGGAATAGCCACCAAGTTCCCTGAAATAACAGCGCTGGTTGCTAATGTGTAGGCATACTCTGTGTACAAATACATAGTACAGTGGTACCTCGGTTCACAAATGTAAGTCGTTCCACGATTCGGGTCGCGAACCGAATCAAATTTTCCCCTAAAGTTCAATGTAAATAAGGTTAATCCGTTCTGAACAATATGTAAAAAAAAAATTTTAACCACAAAAATATGAAACAAAGTCCATTCCAGTGTGAAGAGAGTGAACACTAACCTTTGCACTTTCTTTGGAGCCATGCTGGAATGAATAATACTGTATGTGCTAAAAAGAACACAAAAAAGCTTCACGGCAAGTGTGCACAGGTCTGTCTGCGACCGCGATCTCGCCTAGAGGAAGCCACGACCACGTGTCAAAGAGGGAAGATGGCTGCGTCGTGTTCGTAACCCGATTTGGAGTTCGTGAGTGGAAGCAAAATTTTGCCGAACCGAATTGTTCATGAACAGAAGCGTTCGTGAACCGAGGCATTACTGTGTATATAAATATATATAGTTTCTATATCATTCCCATTTATGTGCCTGTATACTGAAAGATGTGGTCACCAGAGAGATCAAGTATCTTTGGTTCATTTCAGAAAGACCCAGATGTGGCAAGGGGACTGCACTGTACAACTGTCTGTACAAATCCGCAATGTACACATATAATTTATTGAGTGACACAATGTTATTTATCCTAATCTCTAAAAAACACTGACACAGTCCATATACATTTATCCAAACTATTTAATTTATATTTCTTTTTTTTTTTTTCTTTCATGGAAATATAGCATAATTTGCACGAGACGCAATAGTCCTTTTTATATTTCAGCGGCGTTTGCAAAGCGTGGCTTATTTACAGCAATATTGCACTTGGGTGTCTACACGCACCCACTTCTTGAATGCACCATTTGTCTAACTCTTGTTTAGATTTTTTGTTTTGTTGTCAGTATTGAACGTTCCAGAAATCTTGTAACATTAACTGAGCTGGAAAATAAAGACAGACCAATGTAAACTATTTTATAAAAGTACTATGTAACAAAGTATATATATATATATATATAAAAGATGTAATATGAGCGGAGTTTACAATGTGTGATGTGTTTGTGCTCACTCTGTAACTCGGTTTACATTATGCAGAAAGGAGGTATTAAAAGCTTCAGTTTAATGTACATATGTGTGTGTGTGTGCTGTCATTACTGTCATTATAAAGGTGAAAGTCACAATGACCATTGCCAAAAGAAATCTCACCACTCCAATTCCTTAGCCGCCATTGTCCTGGCAGGAATACCAGACCTCGCAAAAAAACAGAGATTTGTGTCCTTGACATGATTAAAATGTATTCAACATATGCTGGGCAGCATGATAACCAGCGTACTATACCCAAAATCTCAATTATGTACAAACACTCAGCGATCAATGATCGCTGAGTGCTTGTACCCGTTCTCCTCTCTGACACACACTGTCACAGGAGAGCCCATCCTCCTGTGACAGCGCTGACTGTCTCCGCCCCCACACCGCTCTGCTGCACTGTGATAGGCAGCCGAGCGGTGTGGGAGGAAAGACACTGGCCGCTCACAGCGCTCGGCCGGCTGTCATTTTCTCTCTGATTCCTTTCATCCCCGCTGGGCACTGCTCTGTGTCCCAGCGGGGATGAAAGGAATCACGGCCGCGCCGGCAAAACGGCAGGAAAATGTCACTTTCGGCATTTAGCCGAAAGTGCCATTTTCGGCCGGCGCCCCCCCTTCACTTTTCGCCCGGGGCCCGCGCCCCTGCTGCACCCCCGGTTGTTACGCCACTGGTCACTGAGGGTCATTGCATGTAATATTGAGACTGGTCATTGAGGGGTTAATGCACCTACTCTGAGTGCTGATCTCGGAGGTAATGCTAGTACATTGGAAACTGGTCAGTGAGGGTTATTGTATACAATGGAATAGAAACACAACATAACGCAAACGCAGCCCACATTAGGCACATGTAACTTTTATTTCATGAGAAATACATGCACTTGAATACTCTCACAAGCAAACAGGAAGTCAACCATTTACTTATATCCCAGGCAAAGGAAGGACTGCCAATAGCTCCAACTGTTCATGGCTAACGATGGGATGAGTGCACTGTCTGCAGTTCAAATGCTATGACCAGCACACCTCCGCCTCTCTTTACCACTGACTTGTATCACGGATCTGCCCTTTCTTCTGAATTCTTAATCGGTCATTGGCTGCCTCCATGTCACAGCGGTAGAATGATGAAGGCATCTTCATACAGCCGGTATCAATGGTTGTCTCCGTGTTACAAAGGTGTATCAGTGAAGGCTGTTTGTTGCTTGGCTACTGTACTGAAGCTTTTTATGGTACTGATGAGATCTTCATCATCTACATACTGAATTTAAAAAACCCATAGAATTAGATATACAATGGTATGTATGTACGGGTTTGTGTGTTTAAAACCTGATTTCCACAGCAAAACAGCATTGTTTTTTTCCCCATTAGGTTTCCACCAGTATTGAGACGTCTAGTGTCATAGGCCCACACTTCTCTCTGTGCTACTACAGACATTGGGCAGCAATACTGCTGTTGCTGTAGCAGCTGTTTTTTTTACAGGGCCAGATTGCTGGATGGGCAGCAATCCTTTTTCAACATAGGATGGGACCAGCTATGACAGGATAAGAAAGACTACAGTCAATATACAGCATGTTAATTGCAACTTGCTCTAAAATTCCTTTATGATCCCCAAAGACAAACAGATATTACCCGGGTCAGCTTTCTACGATTATAATTTTTGCATCTAGAAACACGCCTAGCAATGTAGTAGATTCACTAGAACGAACTCCAATGGGAGACTATTGAACAGTTCTACAGATGCTACAATAAAGAATACTTTCCAAGGATGATAAACCATTTCCCTCTGAGCGCAGTGTACCCCTTGTCTTTGCAATGACCTTAAAGTGAACAGCTTTAAAGGAGAATTATGGGGTGAGTGGAAAATGCTTATCCCCTTTTGGGATGCACCCATATATCGGCCGCCGAAAAATAACGGCCGAAAATGGCACTTTTGGCATAATGCAAAAAGTGCCATTTTCGTGCCGATACATCGGCGCATCCCTAATTTCTTTCCTCCTCGCTGGGCGCTGCTCTATGTCCCAGCTGGGAGGAGAGAAACTGATAGCCGGCAGAGAACTGCGGGAGGAGAGCGCAGTAAGCGGCCGGCGTCTCCTCCCACACCGCTCAGCCGCCTATCACAGTCCGGCAGAGCGGTGTGGGGGTGGAGACAGCGCTGTCACAGGAGGCTGGGCTTTCCTCCCTACACCGCTCGATCAGCCACCTGTGACAGCGTGTGAGAGAGAAGAGCAAGGTGATACAGTGATCAGTACATAATTGAGGACATTATATGTTAACTATGCCCTCAATTATGAATGCATGGGAGTGATCTATATCACCTCCTGTGCATTCATGGTTGTGGTTATAGTAAATAGGAGACACAGAAAAAGAGATAGAGGACTTTGTGTTCTCAATCTCTTTTTCTATTTTAAAAGGGAAATATCAGGGGCCTGCTTAGACCCCTAATATTTCCCCGAAGCCCCTAAAAGTAATGTAAAAAATAAAAATATTTAATAAAAAATTGAATGAATCAATAAAAATAAATATAAAAAGTTTATAAAATATTTTAAAAATTAGAAAAAATTAAAATAAAAAACATTTTCGGTTTCGGCCTGACAATTTTTTTATTTCGGTTTCGTTTCGGTTTTAAAATTTCCATTTCGGTGCACCTCTAATCCCCATAATTCAAGACGACCTGTGACACCGAAGCTGTCACAGGATGGTTCTATTGACTGGGAAGTGAGCGAACACATACCACCGATCGCTGACTTCCTGTTCATCTCCCTGCAGAGAGCAGTGACTGTCAGTTACCACTTCCCGCAGGGATTCCCCCCTCTTCGATCCTCCAGAGCTGACCGGAGGGACGGACAGGGAAGAGGGCAAGCCAGCAGGGTGGATCCCGACAGTCTTGTCGGTATCCGTCTCGGCTGCAGCGCAGTCCTTCTCTTTCAGCATATAGTGGACAGAAGCCCGCTATATACTGGGAGGAATTTATCAAAACCAGAGCAGACAAAATGGCAACCACTCAGGTTCTCTCTTCAATTTGTTCAGTTAAGATTTGAAAATGAAAGAGAGAAATCACAGCTGCTCCATTTTTGCCTGCTCCAATTTTTATAAATTCCCCTCGCTGAGTTTTAGGTCACCAGAGGACATTAGTATATGTCCTCCCATGACCCTGAAGAGAAATCAAAAAACGGTTACCCCATAGTTCTCTTTTAAACCGAGCTTTCTATATGAACCATTTATACAAGATGATCATATACCCCTTCATCGTCTCTTCTAAAGGGTGAGTCCAAGAAGACCATACAATGGACATCAAACCAAAGGCCACTATCGCTGGAAGGCGTGACATGATTTCTAATCCTTTGCACTGTGCATCAAGGGCCCAAGCAAGTTTGAAAAACTTAGTTTTAAACAATATTTCAAAGTCTGCAACATGCTTACCATCCCGCTATCATGTCCTTGAATAACGCTATCCCATATAGAGCCTTCCAGAATGGACTTCTTATCCTGGGAAGAGATCAGTTGGCTGGCACTGCGGTGCAGGGAGTTCTGGGAGAAGCTATGGCTGATCTGGCCTTGGCTTGTTTTTCTGACCACCATGGTGTTACGACTGGTGTGAGCCTCCATTCCAGAAATCTTTATGTCGGATATTCCCTGAAGAGGAAATCAAGTTTGTATATTACGGTAGACACAGTTTGCAAAGTGCAGTTAGAAAAAATGTCTCAATGTGTAGTTGACGTGACAGCCATGTCATAGAATAGGCAGATTCTCCCATACTGCACAAGATTTATGAAAGGTAGAAGCCTGGTCCCTTACTGTGTGTTGTGGTTCCATCCACCGGTCCCTGAAGTACAGGCGGTGGGCCAGATGAGAATAAATAGTCGTCTTCTGAAGTGGCTTCTGCTGTCTATTTGGAGGCCTACCACACTCCAAACACAACCTATATGTGGAGCCCTTTAACACTTGTGGCGAATCCTGTTTCTAATATGCATTACTACATGAGTTTATGATGGGGCTGGGCAAGTCCCAGAAGCCAGGTAGCCAATGGTCCCTAAAAAAAAAAGCTGGTGCCTAACGTTTGAGTTTTTCTCTAGTTGTTGTCAATGGAGCTTGCTCCAAAAAAAAAAAATACTGGCTCCTGAATTCCATATAAATTTGTCCACGCCTGGTTTATGAACATTTTGGTGCATTTTTCAATCTATTCTTTTTGCTTGGTTATGCAGTGAGAGAAACATTAAAAAAATTCAGCATATTCTTCATTTTGAAGATGCACTAAGGCGTAGGGCATAGATGTCAGCTAGCTACCTATGAAAGAATAAGATTTCTGCTTTCAATGCATTCTCATGTAATAAAGGGTATGTGTTGTACTGCAGGGAAACAGACCAGTGTGAACAGGCCCCTGGGAACACATACTGCTCAATGGACAGATCTTAGGATCAGCGGAACCCTTTGTGATTTTCCAACCCTAATACATAAAGGGAAAACAACTCAGCAATACTTAAAGTGACAATAAACTCTGGAGGTAAATCTTAAAAATACATTCAAGTACCTTAACTATTAACAAAAATGTATCTTATTTGTATATCACTCGGCTGCAGATCCTCAAATCATCTCTGAATTGGTGCTGACACTGTCCTTCCTTCTGGAGGTTGACTACTTTTGTTCCCCATGGTCCCTGTGTGTGTTTTAAAGTAGGCACCGCTCCAAGCTCACTCCTGTGACGGACTACAATCTCAGTACAAATTAGAAAACTAAAAAGGTGAGATTGTAGTCCATCACGGGAGTAACCTTTGAGCGGTGGCTATTCTACAACACACACAGGGACCATGGGGAACACAAGTAGCCCCCCTCCAGAAGGAAGGACAGTGTCAGCACCAACACCAACGGACTTTCAACTCCCTCCAAAGGGAGTTGAAAGGTTTTCTATGGGGTTGAGATGTGGAGACTGGCTAGGCCACTCCAGGTCCTTGAAATGCTTCTTACGAAGCCACTCCTTCGTTGCCCGGGCGGTATGTTTGGGATCATTGTCATGTTGAAAGACCCAGCCACGTTTCATCTTCAATGCCCTTGCTGATGGAAGAAGGTTTGCACTCAAAATCTCACGATACATGGAGCTGCGGCTGGCGTGTGGGCGGGCGTGCGGGCGGGGCGGGAGCTGCGGCCGGTCTTTACATTTAAAATTCAGTTTATGTGCAGCTACCCCGAAAGTAAGACCTACCCCGAAAATAAGACCTAGTTCGGTGGTAGGTCTTATATTACAGAAATCCGCTAGGTCTTACTTTCGGGGTAGGTCTTATATTATAGAAATCCCTGAAGATAGCGCTAGGTCTTACTTTCGGGGTAGGTCTTACTTTCGGGTAAACACGGTAGTTGAGGTCTACCTATGATGCCAATTACAGGCCTCTCTCATCTTTTTAAGTGGGAGAACTTGCACAATTGGTGGCTGACTAAATACTTTTTTGCCCCACTGTTGCTTAAACATCCTTTGACTTTTATATCACTTTAAGGTCTTAAATGCTGAATTGCCGTCAAAGGGGCAGAGAGTCCAGAAGCCTTATGTAAGAAACGGGCCTTGCCTTTTGGTACAAGGTCCGCATTACCTTCAGTACTTTTAGTGGGAGCCCCAGATCTACATATCTGCACCAGGTTAGTGACAAATAATGAAAGTGTTAAAACTATGACAGCCAGGCAGTTATAATTTTCAGAGTGAGACATCAGCAATGGCGTCTCATAGATTCCTCTCAGTGCAGGTCTCCTTTAAATCAAATTTCCATGCCACAGAGATCTGCATTTCAGATATCACACAGGTCATGCTCAGTAGAAGACATCTTTCATTGCATAAAACACTGCACACCCACAGCAGGCGCAAACCAACACCAGCATACCTCCAGGTGCATTATGTAACTTTTTAACATAATCCGATTTGATGAACCAGACAATTCAGCCACAAGATCACTCTGAGTTTTGAAAAAAAAAATGGAAGAAAGTTAGTGATTTTGCCTTATCCCGGGTTAAAGGACAGCCGCCCTCATTTATCAAGCAGCAAACGGACCTGAAGAACCTTAAAGTGCATTTCAGGCATCCTAAAGTGACCTCTCAGTTACCAGTATAGAATAAGATTTCAGCATGCCTAAAAGCCAGACAGACAAAATGTTACTTTTTTAAAGTTATGGACGGAATGGCAAAGTGATAGGACATCTGTCCGACTTAGTTGGGTCTGTGTCCCCACTGAGTTGACTTGTAGGAACAAGGAGGACAGGAAATCTCTCCGTTGTGGACACAGAAGCTACAATACCCTTTTTTGCTGTAAAATGTGGAAGGATGAGAATCCCATTTAGGTTATATTTACCGACTTTGGCTTCCAGTCCCTATGACAGTCTCTTACCTTGTTTCTTGCCCTGTTGTCACAGGTATAGGAAGTGGAATAAAATCTTACCAACAGGGTCAAATTTTGGCTGCAGACAGGTTTTGAACTCCAGGAATTAAAAAAAAAACCTTTGCAGTGTGGCCCCCTCCTCTACACTGCAAGGGTTAAATGCTTGTCAAGTCCAAGGGTAGAGGTATGAGCTGCACTACTCAACTTATTCCTCGCTCCTGAAGGCTTCCCCCACGCTGTGTGACCGGTCCTCCCGAATTATTATTATAATACAGGATTTATATAGCGCCAACAGTTTGCGCAGCGCTTTACAATATAAGGAAGACATTACAATCACAATACCATTCAAGACAAGATGGTAAGGAGGGCCCTGCCCCTGAGGGCTTACAATCTAAAAGGGAGGGACAAGGGATACATGAGGAGGTAGCTGTGTGGGGATGAATTGTTTGAGAAAGTGATAGTTCAGTGGTTAGGTTGAGGTGGGATAGGCTTCCCTGAAGAGATGAGTCTTAAGGGATCGCCTAAGCCCGAAGCCTCTTCGCTAAGGCACTCCGGCAGGAGGTCACATGCTGACATGACCACATACAACGCAGGACCAATAATCCTGCATCGCACCTGAGGATGGCAAGGGCACTCCAGAGCGTCAGAGAGTAGAGCTGAGCATCTGAAGCCTGCCAAAGAGAGAAATAGATTTTTTTTTTACAGCTAATTCCCCTACCACTAAACTGAATAAGCATTTAACCCTTGCAGTGCAGGGAGGGGGTGGGGTGGGGTGGGGGTAAGTGCATGGGTATTTTTTACGTGATTTCTGGAGTTTGGCTATAAGCACTTTTGCAGCTTCATTGACTTAGAGGCTTTAGCTGTATCATGCAAATTTACTTTAATAAACACTTAATTTATTCATTTGCACCTGATAACCAAGAACCAACAATGACCATCACTGATCAGTGAACTGGGAAAGGTCTGTCAAGCTGGAGTTTCCTGGGATTCTACAGATGTCTGCAGGACGGGAAAATATTTTCTATTAAAGCTGAATTCCAGGCAGATATAAAAGACACATTAACGCAGCTCTGTCTTCAGTTACACATTATTTCATGTATTGTTTTTAAAATGTAAGCAGTGTGAGTACCTGAATCAGACCTGGTATCCATCTTTTGCAATCCCCAGTACAGCAGAACTTAGACCTAGAGTGGAGAAGCAGCACAGGGAGCCAATCAGTTGTGCTCCAGTCCTTATGTGCTAGCAAGGAACATGCTGATAGGACGAGAGAGCCGACTGAAATTAGCTCATTAGTCAGTTTCTGCTTCACTGTCCAGTCACACGCTGGGGGTATGCACCGCCATATGACATCACAAATCAGATTACAAAACCAAGCATAGGCAATGTATAGGGAACATCGATCCAGTCTTCAACGGCTCTGCTACTACAGTATAGTGAAGGGGCCTAGTTATTTTACATGTATGTAGAGTCTCCTATTGACAAGCTTCATATCAAGCAGTGTAATGGCCATTCCTGCTGAGAATACAGGATAAGCCATTCACTGTTTTTAATCCGTGTGAGCAGACTAATAGTTTTGCATCTATAGAGACAAGTAGTAAGGAACTACCAAGCAAAATATGGCTGCACCTGGGGCTGGATTAAGAGTATCATGGGCCTGGTGCTGTATGTCGGTCAGACGGGAAGCAGCAGAGACGTCTCTCTAATTAGGCGGCCGCTCACTATGCCTGATGAGAGAGCTGCCGCTGCCTCTGCCTGATTGTGTTCAGCCCAACCGCCCAAGATCGCCATAGGTCATTGCCTATTTTCAGTGGTGGGCCTGGAACTGGTGCTCCGGAAGCCCCTATGTTAATCCGGCCCTGGCTGCCCCCATATTTTAAGATAATTTGCATTGGGTTAAACACATTCACTGGAATAGCTAGAAACTTTAAAAGACTAAAAAATACCTAAGGAGAATAAAAGGTTGGCGGGAAAGACAACCATTTATATACAGAACAAATAAAAGAAAGATGGTTCTCATACATGCAGATCATTTTATAGACCCCCAAAAAAACCCCCATAGTCTTCCTTCTCTACTGGCAGGAACCTTCAACAGGCCTGAGATCTGCTACTTCTTCCAGAATCAGTCTAAGAGTCCCATGATTGGTGCTGACATGTGTCAAGTGACAGCTGATCAGCTACTTATAACCTGAATCCTCACAATTAAGGAAGAAAGATTGAGGGAGACAGATGCAACAAGTCCTTGGAATTTGTCTCCTTAGGAGACACAGAGAACAAAGTCACCAACTGTCAGCCAGGATCTAAAAATGTTCTGGTGATTCATACAAAGTCTTTGTTGTTGGCATGGAAAAAACTCAGCGGTTTTATTGATTTATGTATTGAAAAGCACCGAATGAATGTATTGAATGAACTGTATGAATTGGCTCCTGAACCACTCATCATTTGGGTAAAACAGCTGGAGCTGAATCCCACCTTAGATGCAGTTACAGCTTCGAAAATGCTAATAGTTTCTTATTTCTATTGGAATTTCTATAGCGTTGACAACTTACAATTGGCTTTACATAATGCACATTCACGTCAATCCCTTCCCTGAAGGAGCTTACAATATACGGTCCTCATCTCACATGCATACAGTGACAATTTAGACAGGAGCAAATTAACCTTCAAGCCTGTTTTTGTAGTGTGGTAGGAAAACCCACGCAAGAACATGCAAACTCCTTGCAGATAGTATCCTGACCAGGATACAAACCGGGTACCTCCAGTACTACATGGCAGAAGTGCTAACCACTGATGTGCTGCCCATGGAAAACTAAGGGTAGGGATGCACCGTTACCGGTATTTCGGTATGGAGTACCGATATTTTTTTTCCGATACTGGCAGATACCGAATACCGATACCAGAAGTCCCATTAAGGAAGCCAGGCGGCATGTAATGACTGGCTGGCTTTCTGAGTCTGTGTAAAGACTCGCCACCCGGCTTCCCGATTAGCAGGGAAGCCGTTCCCATGCTTCTCATCACTAGGTGACGAGAAAGCACAGAGCTGGCTTTCTGGTCAATCAGGAAGCCGGGCGCTGTGTAATGACGCAGCGTCCGGCTTCCTGATGCATGAGGTGACGAGGGAGCATGAAGCCCGCTTCCCAGCCAATCAGAAAACCAGATGCCGCGTCAATACACGGCACCCGGCTTCCTGATTGGCAAGCTTCCCGACCAATCAGGAAGCCGGGCAGCGAGTTTTCTGATTGGCTTGGAAGCCGGCTCCATGCTCCCTTGTCACAAGTGTAATGACTTGCTGCCCGGCTTCCCGATACCGGAAGTATCAGGCTAGGCATCAGAACATTTTTAGCGAGTACGAGTACTCGCCCAAATACTCTACATTGACACCGATACCGATACTAGTATCAGTGCATCCCTAACTAAGGAATCTTCAGCGTTGCGTTCTAAGTCCAAAAGAAAATGATAAACTAGATAGTGGAAAAAGACCACTGTGGTATAGTTGACATGAAGGATGACAGTGTTTAGTGACAAACCACAAGACCTCTGTACTTCAAGTCCTGTCATTATACAATAGGTTACAATGGATAAAATAAAAATGTCTGCCTACATGTGTATGGTTAACAGGCACACATTACAGCTGATCTTATAATCTAGGTCTCGTGATTCGGGCAGTAAAGCCAGGTTCTGCACTCCTTATGACCTTCCTGTATACTTTACTGCAGGTGAGCAATACAGTCTGGTCCAGGACCCATCCTGACCTGTAATTGGGCAATGAGGGAGCGGAAGCACACTGATGAGAGCACCACACTGCACACTTCTCTCAGGAAGCTCTTAGTGTTAGATAGACAACATTGTGCAACACAGTTGCCTGGTTGGCTCATACTGCTTCCCAACCCTTCCCACTTTAAGTCCTGCTGTGCAGAAGATTACAAGAGACAGAAAGCAAGGCAAGTTCAGGTATTGCTGTATGCTTGTATGCAAAAATGCATTTAAAGGGACTCTGTCACCTAAAAAAAAAGCTGCTGTTAGGGATAAAGGTGGGTGGGGGTGTAAGGCCTGTAAAGTAATGCCTAGTAGCAGCTTTTTATTTATGGAGTAGCAAAATCCCTTTTTTTAATGGATTAATTACAGTAGTTGCTTGTAATGTCTTACTTGAGTTTGTTTTAAGGCATAATACCAGCAAAAAAATTAATAGCAAATTAAAAGATAAAAACTGAGCTTTTGTTGCAATATCCATTTTTAATCTGGAGCTCTCCCCTACAGTATTTTGTTTCTGTAACTAGATGTCCTCAGTCTCATCTCCAGCATCATTCAACCCACTTCCTCTGAACCCAGAATGTCCTGGACCCGTCCCCAGCCTGTGACTGGAGCAGTAAGTACAGTGAGGAGCTCATCTCTCTGTCACTCTGCCCTCTCCTTCTATCACCATGCTTCTTGTCAGCACAGAAACTGATTGGCTTCTTCTGCTGTGTCTTCCTCGTACACTCCAGCCCTGATGTACAGGCACTGCAAAAGGCTGATAGTAGGGCAAATGTAGGTATTTACACTGCTTGCATTTAACAAAAAATACATTTTATTATGTTTTAATGATAACAGAGCTACATTAAATTGTGTCTATTACATTTGCCTAGAGTTCAGCGTTAATGTACAGTAAGTAAATATATCCACTTCCTTATCCAGGACATAAAAAAAATATCAATGAGAATATAGGAAGTCAGAGAGGTTATAGGTAGTCAGAAAGGTTAAAGGAAGTCAGGGAGGACACAGAAAATCTGAGGGAATATAGGAAGTCAGTGAGGGTATGGGAAGTCCGATATGTTGTAGGAAGTCAGGAAGGTTATAGGAAGTCAGAAAGTAAATAAAAAAAGTCTATAATGATATAGGAAGTCAGGGAGCATAAAGGAAGTCACCAAGGATACGGGAAGTCAGGGGGACGTGTTATTATGTCAGCATCAGTGAGAGAAGGAAGTCTCTTTTAACAAGACTGGTAGGTGGGGTACCAAGATAAGATTCTGTACAATGTGCCATATGACCTAAGGCTCTCCCTAGTGCTTTACGATAAATTATTATTATTATACAGGATTTATATAGCGCCAACAGTTTGCGCAGCACTTTCCAATATAAAGAAGACATTACAATTAAAATGCCATTCAAGACAAGATGGTAAGGAGGGCCCTGCCCATGAAGGCTTGCAATCTAAAAGGGAGGGGCCAGTGATACATGAGGAGGTAGTTGTGTGGGATGAATTGTTTGAGAATGTGATAGTGTGGTGTGAAATGTGGTATCTGTACAAACACAGGGTAATCCTCGATGGTTAGTCCATCTTCTCTAGCCCTCATTTGATGCACTGCTGTGTCTTACCTTTTCTAGTACATTTTCAGCAGGACCAACTGGGTTGCAGGCTTGAATTACTGAAGAGGGCAGAGCAGGTTGCTGACTATCTGACCGTTTCTAGATGTCAAGATACAGAGATGTATACAGGAAGGAAAAGAGAGAGCAAGAGTAAAAGAGTGAGGAAAAGAAGAGTGGAGACTTCTAAGCCGACAAAATTCTAAGCACTTGGATGTTTTCACGTGCACCTGAGATTTAGGATTCATTTGTTTTTAATGAAATGTATATGAAGCTTACAAGAGACAAAAACAAACATTGCAAATAATATAAAACTAGGCCGGCTGACATTGCTCTGGAGCAGTTGGTTAAAACAGAACTAAACTGTTTAGAATTTTTTTGGTAGAAGAGAATGTGCCTGTATCTTCTGCCAAAAAACGGCTTTCCCTCTTTTTAACTTTTTCATTTTTTTAACTGTACACTGACTGTGGCACATGCACAGTGCAGTGCACACTGCTGGCAACTATAAGATGCCAAGAGTAGGAGCCCGCTGTTGAAATAATGTAACTTCAACTTTTAAAAAATATATTTTATTTTTTTTCAGGAAAGACCATAATGGTTTGATGAGCCTTTTACCCAGACATATTAAAGCCCAACTGAATCCTCAGTTAAAATCAGCTAAATACATTTCATGTGCATCAAAACAAAAGGTTCCCAATGTCGTTCAGTTTGTTTTCTTGCTAAAACAGCCACACTGGAAGTAGAAAAGCCCGTCCCCTGCCAGCATGCTGCAGAGAAGGACCCTTGCTCTCTGTGTGGAAGCAGTGATCCCATTGCAGAGGTTCAGCACGACCCCCCCTCCCCCTGACTGAGTAAATAGGGAACATGAGCTTTGCTGATTGCAGAGCTATGGGTCTGATTTAGTAGCGGGCGTGTCGGACCCCTGATACGAAGCTAATGCCTTCCTAGAGACAGCAATGATACCACTCTGCAGCTTCTGGCAGGGGATATACTTTTCTACACCAACTGTGGCTGCTTGAGAAAGAAAACTGTAAGGCATTGAATACATTTTGTTTTCATGCACCTGGAATGTAGTTAACTTTTTTAAACTGAGCATTCATTTGAGCTTTAAGTTAAAAAATAACTTTTTTTCAAACAATACATGTTCAGTTTCTCCAACTTCTCAATTTCTACCCTTTATTGATAATACTTCAAGATACGAATGACTTACATACCGTGTAGGTTTCATTTTCAGAGTACTTTGATGGTGACATTCTCTGTTGGAGCGGAACTAGCGGAGGGCGCTCCCTTGGGAAGGGATGTTTGGTCAGCTTCATCTGCAGCACCAGGGACAGAAAAACGGCCAACAGCAATAAACCCAGCAAGGCCATCAGGATTATAAACCACAGCTCGGTATAGACAGCCTTTCCTCTCACCTCTGTCCCATTCTTTGTGCTGGGAATCGAGTGCGCGGGGGCTAAAGGGAGAGACAGGAACATATAACTATCCCATTAAACAATATATATTTACTCAATGGACTTAACTGTCATTGACTTTAATTAACTGGCAAAGTCCACTGTACCTATCCAATTATAGAACTAACTCACAGCTAATTAAAAGCAGCATTGAATGATCAAACCCTCTTAAATGCACATTCCACTTTAACACCTATGGGGTTATTGTCCTGTTTTGTAAATATACATTTTTCAATCAAATATTGAAGCAGATAAAATATTTATTTAAAAAAAAATGGAGCTAGTATGCTTTTTTTTCCATGTGTATGGTCAGAGGATGTAAAACAAAAAATAACTATTATTTACTTTACTTACATTTATAAAGGAAATGTGTCATTCTCACAAATACATAATTAGAATTAACCAGTTGCAATTATAATACATGGTTTAATTTATGTAGCTGTGAATCAAGATTGCTAATTTGTCTTAAAGGAGAACTATGGGGTCAGTGTTTTTCCCCATAGTTCTCCTTAGGGTAACGGGAGGACACAAACTAGCGTCCTCCCGTTACCCTAAGCTCAGTATACCGCGAGCTACAGCTCGCGGTATACTGAGACGCCGCAGCCGGAGCGGATCCCGACATCGGCGTCGAGATCCGCCCAGCTGCGTGAGTGACAGTTGGCTCTGCCTATCTAGAGGCAGAGCCAGCTGTACCCACCCCCTCCCCCGTCCGTTCCGCCAGTCAGCGCTGGCAGATCGGAGCGGGGAGAGGGGAATCCAGCCCCTCCCCCTGTCACGGCAGAGAGCCGTGACAGGATCGAGAGGTGAGCGAACCCGGTATGTGTTCGCTCACCTCCCGATCTACTGTTTGCTAGAACTCTACTGTTTGCTAGAACTATGAGGTGAGTGGAAATCACTCATCTCATAGTTCTCCTTTAAGGTGTTTGGATTGTGCAATGCCTGTACATTTACCGACAACTGTGAAGTATGGAAATCTATCTAAACCCTTGGTTCTCAACTGGTGGGTCATGACCCAAAAGTGGTTCACGGCCCAGTGTTCAGTGGCACGCGGCCTTCCACTCTTCTAGGCGAGTGGCTCCTCAAGCTCCCCCTAGCTCAGCACTGTCAGTTCTTGCCCCAAGCAGCCATTTAAAATATGCTGCACAGTGCCGAGTTTCAGCTTAAGGTGGGGTGGGCTACGAGGGAGCTCCAGCCATACGTGCATTGTTTACAGCTCCCTCGCATGTCCTGTAGAGGTGTCTGGACTGGAGTGACGTCACATTCTGGCTCTCGGTACATCCACAAGGCATGCAAAGGAGCTGTACAAGTAATGCACATATTGGATGGAGCTCCATCACAGCTGCAGTGTGTATGTGTGGTTAAGAATGTGTGTGAGATTGTGTCTGTGGTTGTGTGTGTCTGTCCGTGTTTTTGAGGGCCCATTCACACTAGTACAGTGCGCTAATCGAACAGTTCAGTGCAATCGCATCTACTATGCGTTCTGGTGTGGGAGGTGCATTGCGTTGCTATTCATTTGAATGGCACCCTGAACGCGCCTCCTGCTCACATTTCAATCGCCCGCACCAGAATACGTGGTACCGAAATGCTGTGCATTCCATTGGAGTGCGACTTGGGTCGTGACTTAATCAAGGAAAAATGTGGGTCCTGAGGTTACACAGGTTTAGAACCACTGATCTAAACCATTGATTCTGTTCATGTGCAGTCAGGTAGACCCTTGCATTACATAGTTTGTAGTACATTGAAATGAGATAGCACAATCAGACTGTAACTTATGTGGTCAGTTTTATGTTGAAAATGTTTTGCCAAAAAGGACATTGCTTACAGGAGCAGTTTTTGTTTTTTTGGCAAAAATGTCAACTACCACCACCTAATTATTGGTACAGATGCAGAGTGAGCCTTTCCTGCAAGGCTTCAATAGTGAATATGTTTGTGAAAGTTCTGATTTATCCAAGTCACGGTATAGCTAGTAGAAGTTGGCCAAATCTCTACATGCTGCTAAGCTTGACCCCACTGACTCACCATCTGTTGTCCTGTCTCACTCTGGTGTTAAGGTTGAGCTTCTGCCAGCTGAAGGATCTGGTGCTACTACGTCTCAGTTTTTGTCATATGCCTGGTGTGGGTTGCCTGTCTGGCTCAAGATTCTTTCAGTGACCAACTCACCCAAATTCCTTTCATTACTCGCTGCTTCTGTTGCGCCAAAGCCTGGTGGTCCAGACACTCACCTCAGAACTGAATTATATGCACAAATACAGCCTTCATAGTAGTGATCCACTGGTGGATGGAAATGTTTGAGCAGTTCTGGGACACAAATAGAAATGATGTGACTCCAGATGTGTGACGGGACCTGGATTGGGTAACCAGTGCCCTGGGAAGACCTAAATTGCTGCCAACATGCAGAGCAGGTTCTAGAGACCAATATGGCTGCTGCGTACCCTACCTTTTTATGGTGAGGGGGTGACTTATCCACAAGCCACCTTATTGGCCCTTCTGAGATAGCTGACCCAAGCTCCAAGGCCAGGAAATAAATTATATTTAGTCAGTTACTATGGTGGAGAAATCTCACATTGGTTCAGTGGGTCCTCGAACCATCAGGGTTCGCTTCAGTCCCATGGTAGACCCAAATCTAAACCCCATCCCTAATTCCTACTTTGTATTGAATGTACATAGCCTGACTATAGTAAATATTGGCCGTATACATCTCCAGGTGTGCACATTCACCCAGAATGGCTATTATCTTCTAAACTGAAATAAAATTAGTCAAATTGACATGTCAGTGTTTGCCATTTCTGTGCATGCATATG